AAAAATTATAGTGCAAAATTAATTATATTATATATATATATATATATATATATATATATATATATATATATAAGTAAAACCTTCGGGTGATGAGGTGGCACCATGAGAATTATAAAAGTAAAACCTTGGGGGTATTGAGGTGGTACAATGAGAATTGAGTATTCTCAAATGGTGAATTATGGTTGAGTTTTAGTTGTCCCACATTGGTGAAGAGTTGAAATATTTGAACAAAGTGAAGTGTATAAAAAGATGGAATGGTGCCTTTGTGTCGATTAATGAGGTTTGTTTCTTAGGGTTGTCTTACTTTGGATGACCTCTTTGAAATCTATAACCATGGTTGGGATCAAAACCAACCAAATAGAAAAAATCTTTATCTTTATATATATATAAAAAAAACCTTGGGTATTGAGGTGACATCATGAAAATTGCATATTCTCAAATGGTGAATTGTTGTTGAGTTTTAGTTGTCCCACATTGATGAAGAGTTAAAATTTTTGAACAAAGTAAGGTATATAAGAAACCAACTAAATGGTAAAAATTATAGTGCAAATATAAAAGTGAAACCAATGATGATAATTTGACAACATGAGATAATTATTTATCTGTCGTCTTGATGTTAATACTATCACGGTTTGACACACCTCTCTAATTACAATTCAAATATTATATCTGATATGTGGGTCATCAATCCCACTTGATATTAATTTTATTTTTTATCAGAAAAATCCATTTTCTTAGCTTGATGATGTGGTTCTTCATGCATCGTATTGGACTTCCACTATTGTTGCTACAACTTACGCACTCCTTTAATTTTCACTAGAAATATTATAGAAGGTTTGATTCTCGTAACTTCAAAAATGAGATTTCAATTAAATTTTTTATAAAATTAAAATCGTGATTTTTGTCACCTTATATGAAATTTCAATTAAAACTGTGACTTCTAATTAGACAAACTACTAACATTAGTTAAACATTTGTAGAGTACTTTGCAACACGATTCTCAAGCATAGTTAGATAACTTAAATTAACATATGGTTATAAGATTGTTATCAAATCCTCTTAAAAACTTTTAATGTTAATGTGTAGTTGTCACTCACATTTGTCTAAATTTTTTTAGAATAGTACTTCAAATTTAGTCTATAACATTTCTTTTGAAGATGATATTATCGCTACCACGCAACGCGCGGTTAAAAAACTAGTTTCTGATAAGAGTTAGATACAAAACCATAATCACCTTTGTTAATTAACGGACAATTCAATCATCAATCTAACTAATCAAGAACTTGACGGAAAATACGAACTTGAAGATCGAAAACCATCATTCGATGACGATAACTTTGAGCGATTGGTAAGCGGCCGGGGTCACACACGCTGGAATCACGTCTGAAACAACCAGAATAGCGTCTCCGGCATTCACCATCCCTTTTGCTTTCATTAGATCAGTGGTTCTAGAAATATTAGCATCCATGTCATCCGATAAGTCAAACGCGATCGGGACAACTCCCCGTTGCAAATTCAACGCCATTCTTGTGCTGTTTTCATTTGTGAATGCAAATATCGGAGGGTTTGGTCGGTTGCGAGATAAAAGTGACGCCATTTCTCCGTGTTTTGTGTAAACAAAAATGGCATCCACTTCAAGCTTGTTTGCTGCACACATGAAACAGAGGTTGATTCTAGTCAGAGTCAAAGTTTACTATTCCAGAACTCGGTTTGCTGCACACATGAAACAGAGGTTGATTCCCTCTAGTCTCTGTTGAACGGGGTGTGTTGGAGTCCTATATCGGTTTGACTTGAACCATTTTTCTTCGGTATATGATGAAACCCCCTTCACTCTTCAAGGGCTTTTTTTAAGAGGAATCCAATTGGATTCCACATATTCTCACATGGTATTAAAAATTTGGATAGTAATGTAATAGGATTCTACATATTTTCACGTTGATAATTGAAAAGATAACAAATCAAGAAACTGAAAGTACCCATTTGGCCAGCACAGTTGCAGATTTGTTCGGCTATTCGATCTGGCAACGACACTCCAAGTGGAGGAAGAAACTTTTGAACTTGGTTCACCTCACGGCTCCATAGTTCCATTCGGGTGCTAGCCATTCGTAGCACGGATATAGCCTTTAGACCATACGATCCCATTGCTGATTCACCGGATAGCATCAGGGCATCAGCACATTGTCGAACGGCCTCAGAAACATCTGCTACCTTTTTTACAAACGAAAGTGTGTCAACTTTAAGATCTATTCAAATCTTTTGAGCGTAGCTAAATGAAAATTCCGTCTGGAATCATACTTCAGCTCGAGTCGGGGTAGGATATTCGATCATCGACTCAAGAAGTTGTGACGCCACAATTACTGGCTTGTTTAGTCGCCTGCAAAGATCGATTATCTCTTCCTGCACAGTTGGAACCTGTTCTAGTGGTATTTCGACTCCAAGATCACCTCTTGCCACCATGATTCCATCCGATGCTTCCACGATTTCTTCTAGATTCTTTAGAGATTCCAAACTCTCGATCTTTGCCAAAACCTTGACGAATCTGAACAGTACATTGTATACAGTATTAGAGTCTCACATATGCTAGACTCAAAGCAATTCTTCTTGGTATATGTTAGAACCTCCCTTCTCTTTCCAATGGCTCGTTTGAAGAGTAATTTAATAAATTCTACATACTCGGTATCAGAACTAAGGTCTACCCCTCCAGGAACTTGACACTCCGGGGCAATCTGTACTCGTCTATCCCCCTATCGACACTTTGAGCCATTTGTGCCTGTCTGTCTTTTGGAGGGGTTAAGTTAGGGTCTCATATCGGCTGGACTTTTGACCATTTCTTCTCGATATATGTTGGAACCTCCATTCTCTCCCCAATGGCTTGAAGAGTAATCTAATGGGGTTTCACATATTCTGACAGAACAAAAACACAAACATGTAATCTTTCAGGTCAAAGGGTCTAGAAACTGATCACAAACGCGGGCTTACTTATTTTTGGCGAGTAGGTGATCCTTTAAATGCTTGATGGCAGCAGCGTCATTCACAAATGAGACCGCGATAAAATCAACGCCTTCAGATGTTCCAAACTCGATGTCAGACCAATCCTGTTGATCATAAGCCACAAATCAGAACTCATATCGATAAGCAAACAATAGTCTTGCATCAAAAACACCTTAAGATCATCGAGTTTCCTAAGAATTTGATTTAAAATTTCTAACCTTTGCAGATAAGGTCGGGAGCTCATGATGTTTGTCGACAAGTTTCCCATTTCGCCATAAGCTCAGTTTAGCTCGAGGTAAAAGTAAGCCGGGGTCTGTGCAACTGCATCGCAAGTCATTTCCGATCCTTTCTATGACCTGAAACGTCGCCATTCCTCCATCAACAACAAGCTCATCACCCTCTGTGATTCCTGATAACAAAACACTTCAACTACATTGAAATTCGATTAACAAAAGAAATGAAACTGAAGCCAGATTAGTCAGGAAACCTTCATTAAAGCCTTCATAGCTTGTTTGCACAGTGAAAGAACGAGAACCCTCGAGTTTTTCGGTAGTAAAGAACCAAATTGATCCATCCTAACAGTCAAATATGAGGTGACCTTTAATCCCTTTGAAAATCTAAAAAAGCAGAATAAAGAAGATGGAAAATTTCAAAGAGAATTGACCTCTGCTTTAACAGAGGAAGAAGCTCCATGGTCAACAACATGAATTTGTCTGCCTTCTGTATCAATCATAACAGAAACACAAAACCCTTTTTCCTGATTCAGTTTCTTGATCTTTCTAATCACATCTTGATGCCAATCTTTAGTATTATGACACATGTTAAGCCTGGCTACATTCATCCCTCCTAAAGCCAGTTTCTCCAGTTCTTCATAAGAACAAGAAGATGGCCCCACTGTGCACACCATCTTCGTCTTCCTCATACCCAGAAACCCATTTTCCATCAACTCTGTCTCCTTCACCCGATCAAACCCTAATCCCTTGTGTTCTCCATTCACCACAGAACCCACTTGTAACACAGCCCTGGCCACCAAACCATTCAGTTTCTTCTCGTTAAAAGCAAGTTTCATAGGCCAAACAGGAACACCAAATCCAAATCCAAATCCAAATGCACTTGTTTTCGAATCCAACCATGGTGATATGAGAGGCAAATCAGCAGCCATCGACTGAATCCAAGAATTTGAAGAGGGGTCAGATTAAAGATAGGATTTTAAAGATGAAAAAACTGATTAGCAGGTAAACTGATGTGGGGTTTGACTTCTTGTCAAGAACAAAAAGAAGAATAAAGAATCAAAGAAGGTGGTATTGAGGTGTTAGTATTAGAAAAGCAAGAATTAAATAAGAGAAGGGGCATATTCTTTGTAACTGTAGTTGAAAAGGAATCAAGAATGAAGAAACCCTAGTTGGGTAGGGGTTTAAGAAAAGGAAAACGAAGTCGTTTATAACGTGGTGGTGGTTTGGTTTGTTGAATGAATATTTGGCGGGATTTTAAGGTTTAGGTTTATGTCGTCAATGTTGAGAGGTCGTTTCCCTTTCCAACGTTTTCCGCACCATATATAGAGGTTAAATTATATATAAAAAATAAATATTATTGATGTATATAAACGGTATCCGTGTAATATGGTGGGGCTATTAATTTTAACGATTTTGAAGTTTTATTGGTTTTATTAGAGTAGATTTAATGATGATATAAGTTAAACTTGGTCTTTATATATTAATACAATTTTAGTAAATAAGAGTTATGGTTCCAATTACAGTTTAACGATGAAAAAAAATTGTATGACAATTTAAAATCCAACATATTTAAACGACTTCACAAATGTGTCGATTTACACCAAGAGCAAAGAATCAATAGATCGAGAGTCATTGAATGAGAGAACTTTTAGTAACCCATGGTGAATATCAATTTGAATCTCACATTGGGGGATGGGAAGAAGACATAGAGTTATGAGAGGGTGAATACATGAGTTAAAGGTGTCAGAAGTATCTTAGAAACATGAAAAGAAAAAAATAATAATAGGCATTGGTAACTTGTACTATGTGTTATTTTAATTGTAGATTAAGAGATTTTAAGACTGAATGCATAAAGTAGTAGTAGTTAATGCATTATGAGTTGTTTTTAAGACTTTGTGCATAAATGTATAATACTTTGTGCATTAAAAGTTTTTAAGAGTTTCGATAAATCTGATTTATAAGGTAGTAGTGGTATATATATATATATATATATATATATAGAGAGAGAGAGAGAGAGAGAGAGAGAGAGAGAGAAAGAGAGAGAGAGAGGGGTTGGTTCAAATAGAAACCAACTATATGGTATAAACTATGGAAACCGATCTTGACCAATCACATTCTTTCTTCACTTTAGGTTCAAATCTAAATTATAAATTAATGATAAGGGTAATTTGGTAATTCAACCTTTTTGTAACCCCCAATAATTAATTGGGAGTTACAAATCTTAAAAGATACATTTAATTGTTAATGAGATTTTTATGATTTCTTTATTATTTCATGTTCATGGTATTCATTTCAATTGATTTTATACATATATTGAAATTGGTTGTCTAAGTGTACAAGATTTTCATTTCGTTCAAGATACATAGAGAATCCTATTGTAAAAGAATGTCAGAATAATGAAGACGATAAACG